ATGCACGGAGACACAGAATTTGGGTAAAAAAACAAAACATTTATTTGCGAACTGGCAGGACTGCCAGAAACTCATCTGATCAATGTCCATGCTGTCCTTTGTTTTAACATTTCCTTTTATATCTTCTTTTAGCCATTATCTTATTCCTGGTGGTCTTAGTAAAATTTCTGTTTCCCTTTTTACAACTAGTTCCTGTTAATGGTTATAGTCACAGACATATAACAAACAGATGGCACTTAAAACACATGCATTGTAAACTACCCAAACATTTCTACTTTGTTTTTCTCCAGGTTAAATGTTAGCTACAGCTAGGTTACAGGTCAAAGGGTCAGTTAGCCATCACCTTAAACAACAAGAGTTACAGGAAAGGTAAATCTTACTTATTCTACTTCAGCTACCTTAATAACTAACCTATAGTTTAAATTTATCAACAGCAATATATGTGCACCCATGTTTATAGCAGCACAGTTTGCAATAGCTAAAGCTTGGAAACAGCCCAAGTGCCCATCAACTGGAAACTGGATAAAGAAGATGTAGTTTTTTTATAAAAATGGAGTACTACTCAGCCATAAAGAATGAGAAACTAGAAACATTTATAGTTAAATGGATGCACTTTGAGGCCATACTCTTAAGTGAAATAAATAGGACACACGTGTAAATACCAAATAGTTTCTCTGGTGTACAAAATTAAAAATGTAAATAAGGATCAAAATGTATAATTGATACTGCGAATGTCTCAAGTTAGTGAGGCAGGGTTTATGCTTTAGTTCTGCCAGCCATACTATCTCTGGAGTGATTTTCAGGGGCCCTCTAGTGGCCCCATCTGATCTTACTTCTTTCTTTTCCAGCTCCCCTTTGCTCTCATACCCATCCTCACCTTCACAAGCTTGCGGCCAGTAATGAGTGACTTTTCCAATGGAATGTGAGTATATTCATCCTAGTTCTCCAGAGGGGAGCTGAGGCGGGGGAGGGTATTTTTACCCAACAGAACAATTGGAAGTGAATCATAGGGGAACTGTACATTTTGTGAGGTGACTGCTAGCTGCTTCCTCTTTGGCCTAAGAGATGGAGGTTATGAATGTGATAAAGGAGGAAGAAGCACATTTTTAATTTCGGTTTTTAGAGCTTTAACTTTCCAGCTTCAGCCATTGAAATTTTATGTTAAATTATCTCAATGAGAAGGATAAGACCAACGCATTTTACATACACCTTGAAGGGATATGCAGTATTTGAAATTACTTGTTACATTTCAACGACTCTAATAAAATGACTCACTGTATTTCTAGCACTTGTTGCTTTTCTAGTATCTTAAATTTAGAGGTTATTTGATGCATGCTTTTGTCTTTTTTCCTTCCATTGACTGACTTTTCCAATTTCAACTTCCTGTGATATATAGTTAGAACCATTTTTCAGTTCTCTTTGCAACTGCCCATGAGATGCAGTTTCCCTTTTGTTGTGGTCACGTTGGACTGTTCTGTCAGTGACTGTGCTGTTTCTTTTACAGAGGCTGGAGGATTGCAGGCGGGCTCTTGGTCCTTATCGTCTGTTCAATCAACATGTACTTTGTAGTAGTTTATGTCCAGGAACTCGGACATGTGGTGTTGTATGTGGTGGCTGCTGTGGTCAGTGTGGCTTATCTGAGCTTTGTGTTCTACTTGGTAAGTCCAGTGTGGGTGGACAGGGCTACCCATATCTGGGATGGTAGAGGTGGGGCCAACTGACATTGACAAATGAATGGACCCAAAAGTAGAGTCTATCTTCTGGTTATTGAGGCAATTCATGTGAAATTGTCAAATTGGCTGTTTATATACTTTTTTTTTTGATACTGGGGATCGAACTTGGGTCTCGTGAAACCACTGAGCTAAATCCCCAGTCCTGTTTATATACTTCTAACCAAGAAAGTTACTCTATTCCCTATGATCTGGCAGTTTTCTACTTCTGTCGTTTATGATTTCCATTTTTGCTTTTTTTTTTTAATTTATATATTAATTGGCACATTTTAGGGTTACAATACGTTTACATTTATCACGGGGTGCTTGTACCTGTCCATGATGGATCTTGGTTCTTATTTTTCCCCATTACCTGTGTGCTCGTCACCCCCCCCCTTCCCTTTTTACATAGACTTTGTTTCCATTTTCCTTTCTTTCTTCCATTTTTGCCTTTTAATAAGAGTATGGTTTGTTTGAAGAACCAAAGGAGGTAGCAATATGGAGAGTGGTGCAGAGTTAGAAAAGGGAACTGTGCATTGTGATTTAGGGCTTTAAGTAGAATACAGATGGGTTCTCAGCCTGGCTCTGCTTCACCATGCACTGTCTCAGGAAGTAAGTAAATAGTGACACCTCCTCATTGCATTATTTTAGAGTCATTCGAAAAGCCCAGGTTATAAAAGCATATCTACAGAGAAATAAAATGCAAATGATTTGAGCCCATATTTGTACCAGATATGCCTATAAGTCTAGAGTAAATTATGTAAAAATGATAACAGTAGTTGTTTTCAGAAGGTGGACTGTAGATAGGCTCTTCTCTGTTTTCCAGACATTCTTCAGTATTGCTAACATGAGTGACAAATACTGCAACAACTCTGCCTCCTGCTTCTATATAGGGTTCTCTGGAAATTACAAAGTTGGGGATAAGGAACTACAAAATGTATGCCATTTCTGCTGAGAGAATGGTTAAAGGCAGAGGCTAGAAATCTGTTGTTGATCTTTAGGACACTTACCTAGTCCCCATGTCAGTGTCTACCACAGGTTAGGTATCAAATTGAAAATGTGTGTTTGGGATTGGTAGTTCCACTTCCTTCCCAGTAAACCTCAAGTATACAAAGATTATACTGACTCTAAGGCCTGAGAAAACCAAGTAACTGAATATGTTGTTAATAGGAATTGTTTTAAAAGTTAGCTTAGGGGTCAATATATAGCACAGGTCCTGAGTTCATTTCCTAGCAAAATAAATGAATGAATGAATGTTAAAAAAAATAAAATCAGCTTAGAAATCTAGAGAATTCTCCCTTCTTGCAAATTGCTCATAAAGGTGCCAAACTGTCCTTAGTGATTCTCAGACTGAGATTCATTGTCCCAATTTGATAGGTAAGGGCTTATTCTATAGTGGGTTATTGCTTTTTAGCCCCCAAACAGAGATTTCACCGAACAACTTCTGAGACTACATCAGTCACTTTGGTGTGACAGTCATTCTCCCCATTCCTTTAATGGGGAGTGAGGCGAAGGAAAGTGGTCATCAGGAAATCCCCAGTTGGACAAAAGAAGCTGTAAACCCAAAGCAATAGAAACAAAGAGAACTCAGTATCGAAAACAGCATAGGAACACTTTGTTGAGGACAGCAGGATGTTTTGAAGGGACAGTGAGGTTGGGAGCATGTCTTGGGCCACCTTGGTGGTGGAAGAAGGCTGGTAAAGCCAGTTGTGTAAGGAAGGGAGCAGGTTTGCATCTGAGCCGTGCTGTGAGTGGTCACTGTGCGTGAGAGGCTCTTTGTTAGAGCCTGGTAACTGATGACCATGCTTTGTCTTCCAGGGCTGGCAATGTTTGATTGCACTGGGCTTGTCCTTCCTGGACTGTGGACACACGGTAAGCATCTCTAAAGTCCTGCTGACGGAAGAAGCCACTGGGGGCTACACTAAGTAAACATTGATCCCACCTATCAGCCGCAGGTAGCCATCAGAGCCAGTGTGTTTCTATGGTTTACTGTGTGAACATAGCTACAAGTATGTGCCATTG